TGGCACACCACAAGACTCTTCCATAGATCTGAAAAAATTGGGACTTACAGGGTTCACAAAGAGGTTTATCCCAATTTAACTAAATCAATTTATAATCTTTGTGTAAACTGGGCCTAAGTCCATTTTTTTAAAAGACCGTCCAAGTATGTGCAATTTTAGGTACATAAGCAAGTGTCAAGATTTTAAAATTAAGGTAAGGTGTTTTTTTTTTTTAAAACTTGGTTATGGCTAAAGCATGGATTTGCTGCAAGATGAGGCATTAGAACCATGCCCTAGCCTCCTGTACCTAGGTTAGATCACAAATTCGTTGGGCCCTGTCCACAGTGGTGGGTCAAAGGCTAATAGAACCCAATTTTGCTACAGCAGAGGTTACAAGATGCATGAGCATGATTTTTCTACTCTGTAGTTTAGCCATTGTTTCTGAGGCTTCTTAGATTAGATTGCCATAGTGTCACCAACTCAAGTCAAAAGCACATTCCTTCTTTAGCCTACCGAGTACAATAGGTGTGCTTGGGATATTGGACTGTGGGTGGTTGTTATTCCTCAGCCAGTTATTTATAGTAACAGATACTAATGGGATATAATAAACGAACATGACAATATGGCTCAAAGAGAGCTAGCTGAAAATGTCCTTCCACCCAGCACAAGACTAGCTGAACTCACTAAGTTCTGTCATTAGACTAAAATGAGCTCCTTTCAATTTTGCTTATCTGTAACTAGACTTTGCCTTATGCTCCCCAATCGTAGGTTTCATTCTCCAAATGTATAGCCCGAGAAACACCCCTTTCCCTGTCCTTCACTACAGGGTATAGTATCAAAGGAAGCCAGTCTTGGACCTTGATCCCAAATCCATTGAAGTCAATGCGAGTCTTTCCAGTGACTTCTGTTGGCTCTGGATCATGCCTACAATGGGTCACATGGCCAGCTGGAAATGGCTCTGTGTCAGTACGGCCCATCACAGGTTTGGTTTCCCAGCGTTCCGTGATGTGTTGCTGCCTGGGCAGACTGGAGAGTGCGGAGTCTGGAAGAACATCGTGTTTGCCTAGACTTGCACCCCTAATTTGGCACCTCAAGTGATGGGTAAGGAACTGCATGACAAAACATGGCTATCCTTGTGGTGGTGATGGTGTTCTATGTCTTTGTGGTGGTACTGAGACTATCAGCCTGAGCAAGGGAGGATCATTAGCACATCTTGCAAAATTATCTTTCACTGCAAACTTAACACAGTCCCTTCCCATATCAGGATGTGCCATTTACTGGAGACAGCTGGAGAAAAAGCAAACTCAGAATTTTGTTTTCAAAGGAGGAATTACTTGCAGCACCTTTCCCCATTGGAAACTGAACAGTGATTTCCATTGATTCAATGCTGCCGTGAATGACATTCTGTTTCCCCATGTACTACTATTGACAAAACCCCAATATGAGATTCCAATCAATCATTTCAGCTCCGTATTTTAAAATGCAATTTTAAGGTGGAGAGAGATAGAGACACCCACACCCTGGACCATAGACACATATCATAGCTAACCCCATACATACAGAACAGGGAATATAATACAGCAATCCCTGATGTAACTTCACAGAAGTAAATGAACTTTACACTTCTGATCTGTGACTCTGGCCTCTCTTGCATGAGCTAAAGGAGCAGCTCTAGTAGCCCAGCCAGACCAGGGCATTGTTAAATCAGAGCAGGTAAGATCTGCAGGTCTATTCCAGTCAGTAGAAAGCTATGATACATCTACTCCTTCTACCTCAGAAAGTGAGATCTCCTTGAAGTGTTGTAAGACACTTTGAAAGAGTGTGAAGTGAATGGAGAGATGCTCACCATTAGCAGCTGTTTGTGATTACTACCACAAGAACAAAGTGGTCATGGATTGAAGCTGGAGAAGAACTGTGTCTACAGTCTCTGTTCTCTGGGCTCCAGTTTGATACCAAAAATAACTTACTGATATCAGTTTCTTGATATAGTTTAATGACTGTGAAGTACAAAGTGGACAATGTTGTGTTCAAAGGCCCCATCTGCCCTAGCAAATCTTCAGATCATAACATGGTTTTCAAGATTGTTTTTATCTATCAATCTAACCTGATGCATTTTTAGATCATCCTACATCGTTGTGTCTAGGTGACAAGGTTCTTGAACTTGCTTTGGATAACATGGGTAATATGCAAGTGCCTGAGTAGGTGGTTCCATTTTTTTTATGATGATTGTTGAAAACCACTCTAGGATCTGATTTTTTCTAATGCTGTATTTTGGGCGAGCCAATATACAGGTGACTTCTGGCATAGGTGTATCCCAATAATTCCTTAAACCTTTGTCTGTCTTCAAATACTTGAGGAAATAGTTCTCTCAAAAACAAAACAACTCTAGTAAACTCTTAGCTTGTAACTTTTGTGCATGCACGATTTCTATTTTATTGATTAATGAACTTGATTAGGCAACTTGCTACATGCACACCTATTGGCTTTAGTGGCAGTTGACATGGAGAGATGACACCTTGTATGAACTGGGAATATAATAACCAGAGTAAAAGAAGGTGCTGATTGAATCAAGAGATTGATGATGAGAGACACAGTCTCTATAGCTAACATTTTCAAAGGTGCCTAAATTAGTGGTTTAAACCAGGATAATGCTGGTGGAGATTAAGTTTTTACCATTAACATCTATTTGGACACCTACAGGATAGCAATTAATGGTCTCAGCACGGTTTCTAATGGACCAGTGTCCCAATACTAAAACTACAATAACCATTAGTTCTATTGATGGTTGCTTTAGCAGGGAAACCAAGGCCTGAATGGCGATAGCAACTGGACTTTCTCTCTCTCTCCTAGTAATGATTTCTCCCAAGTGGGGAAATAAGGTGCCCCAGAGGAACAGTTAGGGATGCTTGCCTGCTCCTGCCTGTGCTGTATTTGTTCTGTGGATAAATAAGGCATTTCAGTTCCAATGGCAGTCACTCTAACACCTTCCAAGAGTGCTACGGGCCCAATTCTGCAAGGTCAGAGCTGGTTGAAGAGGCTGTTTTTAACAAAAAATGGCTTTTTGAAACCCATTTTCTATACAGTATGAAATTTTCCAGGTTTTTGTTTCCAACAAAATGATTTGAAATGAAACACTTGTTTTAATTTGAGTCAAATAGAACTGAAATAAGATTTATAGGAATAAGCTAGTGTGGTTGGAGCACTTTTATACTGGTATAAAAGCATCCACGGTAGAGGAGGTTGTTCTAATATGGTTAAAATAGTACAATTTGTGTGTGTAAGCGAGCCCAAAGCTTGGTCTCTTTGGGTATGTCTACACTTACCCAGTAGTTCGGCGGCGAGCGATCAAACTTCTGGGTTCTACTTATCGCGTCTTGTCTGGACGCGATAAGTCGAACCAGGAAGTGCTCGCCGTCGACTGCGGTACTCCAGCTAGACGAGAGGAGTACCGCGGAGTCGACGGGGGAGCCTGCCTGCCGCGTGTGGACCGAGGTAAGTTCGAACTAAGGTACTTTGAACTTCAGCTACGTTATTCATGTAGCTGAAGTTGCGTACCTTAGTTCGAATTAGGGGGTTAGTGTAGACCTGGCCTTTGACAGTGGCCCTTTACACACTTTCATGGTTAGAGGTTTTCTGCTGCCTGTTACATCTTTAATTACAGTTTCAAAGAAGTCATGTGTTTGCTACCTAAGCCATCCCCTGCAGCTAAATTTCTTAGTAAGCCTTGTTAATGATTACAAAGGTTTAAAAAAAAAAATCTGACCTTGCTTGTTTTGCAGTTGAGTAGTGGGATACCAAGTAGAAAATGTTTTGTTCCATGTCAAAAGTCCTTCCCTGCATGCCCCAGTGTGGGTGGTTCTTTGTGCTAGGAGGAAGGGGGGGTGGGGGAAGTAAAACGAAACAAGTTGTAAAAGAAACCTGATAGGCTGTAACTCTAGATCAGGGGTCGGCAACGTTGGCACGCGGCTCGCCAGGGTAAGCACCCTGGCGGGCCGGGCCAGGCCAGTTTTATTTACCTGCTGACGCGGCAGGTTCGGCTGATCGCGGCCCCCACTGGCTGCGGTTCGCCATCCCGGGTCAATGGGGGTGGCGAGAAGCCGCGGCCAGCAGATTGCTCGCCCATGCTGCTTCCCGCCGCCCCCATTGGCCCGGGATGGCGAACCGCGGCCAGTGGGGGCCGCGATAAGCCAAAGCTGCTGCGTCAGCAGATAAATAAAACTGGCCCAGCCCGCCAGGGTGCTTACCCTGGTGAGCCGCGTGCCAAACGTTGCCGACCCCTGCTCTAGATTAATGAAATTATTGTGGAAAGGAGAAAGACTCTGTTGGTCAGCAACCAGGTTGGGGGATTACACCTATGCCTGCGTGGTTAGGAGCGCAAGTACTGGGGAGCTGTGTGTGCAAAATAGCCAGTCTTGCATTTGAGATTACTGGGGTCTCACCTTGATCAAGGAGGCTCAATCCTCCTCCCTGTAAATCTCCTGCACTGTAAGGACGAGGGGTGTATGTGAGATGAGAGTAGGTTGTCCAGCTGTCCTGATTTTATAGGGACAGTCCTGATAGTTGGGGCTTTTTCTTATACAGGTGCCTATTACCCCCATCTCCTGTCCCGATTTTTCACACTTGCTATCTGGTCACGCTAGATGAGAGGGAGGCAGCCAGGGGGTTGCTGTGGGTCTGGGTCTGTCCTCTGAGTCTATGATCCCTCCGCTGACACGGTTCTGCTAATTCAGGTTCTCTGGTGAGTCAGGTGCTCCCCTACCTGCCTCCGGGGCTGTCTTTCCCTGAAGCAGCTGGACTCGCTGGCCCCCTGGTTTGAGCCAGGAGGGTGAACAGGTCCCTAGAGGGGTATGTGCAGGGGCTGCAGCGCCCCGCGGTGACCGCCAGGGGGTGTCTGCCCGTCCCACGCGCCGCAGCGCCGGGCGCGCGGGCGGGCGCACAGGTCCCGGGCGGGTGTTGAGCTCGCGGCTCGGTGCATGCGGGGCTTTCCCGGGGGCGGGCGCGGCGCGTGGGCGGCAGCCCGGCTCTCTGCACCCCACGAGGAAGAAGCCTTGGAGCGAGAGAGGAGGCAGCGGGGCTCGGGGCTTGAAGGTAACTCCCCCCCCCCTCCCCGAATGGCTGTGCAACAATGTGGCAGAAGTTGACAAAAGAGGGGGTCGTTCTGCCGAGCGTGCAATGGGGTTTCCAGTCTGTACGGCTCCTAGTCCCTCTCCTCCGTCCTAACTTCCCTCCCGAAACGGCCCTGCTGCGCGATGGACGAAACGCGCTTGCTGGAAAAGCCCGGCTCCTCGCCGTGCGCCCCGCGGCTGTGCTGTTCCCGCGGGGGGGGGCGATACACGCCGCCTGCTGCCGAAGTGGGGTCAGTCATAGACGGACTGGCTTCTGGTCCTGCTGACGGCGCGGGGGGGGGGGGGGGGGGGGCGGGGGGGGGGGGGGGAGTTTTTCTTGTGTGTAAAAGAGGAAAGTAACGTGGAGATTTCACTTGATTTCTTTAGCCCCACCCTGTATTTAAAGAGACTTCTCCGCCCCCCCTCTTCATTCCAGCTAAATCCTGATTTCTCTTGGGGTGGGGGGGTAGGGGGTGACAAGGAAGGCTGCTCCCGCCGCTGGGCAACAACTGTCAAACATCTGGATTCGCAGCCCCTCCCTCTTCAATGCAGCGAAAGAGAATTTTTTTTTTAAATCGCTTTGCTCGTTTCCTTTGATGTTTTTCCTTCTCTCCAGCAACCTAAACTAACGAAACTATTACACGGCACATCTTTACCTCTATCCAAGCAAGTAGGGTCCTGGTTGTCCTTTAAAGTCTCTGGCATTCGTAGTAAAAAAAAAAAGGGGGGGGGGGGGGGATACCCACCAGAACCAAACAATGAATGGGCTTTTGTTTGCCTATTGTTTGAATCAAACTGTGTAGAGGCTGCGATGGAGATTGGGAGGTTTGAAATAGCAACAGCGAAATAACTCATTGTCTGTTGTTGGAACCCAAGGCAGGTATAATAGTAAATTATATGGAGGGCGATAAGCCGGTGGCAAGGCGTGTTTTCCTGCTCCTTGGATGCCATGGGATTTTTTTGCTTGCTGTGCTGCTCAGAAGGGCAGGTCTTTTGTGCTGGTGAATGATCATGACTCCTTTCTTCAGCGCCTGTGGGAGTTTGCTTGGCTTCCCTTAGGGGAAGTGGCTGCCACTTTACTGCCTTCAGGAGATGGGGGGTTGGGGAATCAACTGGGTACATTGCTCGTGTGGTTTTGATCGATGCCTCTGAAAGCGAATGAAGTTGAAAATAAAAACAGTCAACAAGTGTGTGCATCTGATCCTGTTGTTCCAGCCATGTGCAAAGGGGAGTGTCTGGTTCCACTCCAGGAGAGGATTTACAGGAAGACAGTGGAATAAGGGAGCCAGGAGGAGGATAGCTAGCAAAGTGATCAGGTTTTCCCCCCCTCCGTGCTTAACACTGGTTGGTGGTTTTCTCCCAGCCCTCTCTCTATGGATTGCTCTGAAATTGCAAGGCCGGAGTCTCAAATGAGTGAGCTCCTAGTATAGCTGCTCTGATGCTTTTGTGCTGACACCGACTAAGGGGAAGGGAGTCCCAAAGCCAAAGCCTGGGGATTTGTGACCTACTTGTCACCCCTCCTTGGCAGCTTTCAGGCACAACTCCTTACATCTTGAAGTTGCACAATACTTACTACCAGGGCTGAGTTTACTGCTTCAGCTTAGTACAGACAACCTGCCAAGTCTTACTCATTTGGAGACAGACTCCTTCTCCGAGAGATGTTTTAAATGATCTCTCTCTCAAGAAGAATGATTTTTACTGAGTGATGGAATGAGGGATTTAAAATCTTCCTTATGAATCTTAGTGTGATGAGCCAGATGCGCAGGCTTTTTGGAGTCTGGATCAGTAGCTGAGAGATGAATAATCAGCATTTAATCTATGGCCCAATGCAGAGAGCAGGTTCAATCATCAGTTTTGATTATAAACCAACCGGAAAACTTTCCTAATCAGATAATGATTATTTGTATTTGGGTAGCACCCAAGATCAGGGCTCCATTGTGAAAAGCACTCTACAAACATTTCAATTTCTCAATTTTTTTCATAATTCACAAATGCTTCTTAAGTTGGTTCTTGAATTTTAAGATAATTTTACCCACTTTTAAATGACACTTGAACAAAGGTGCTGTTGTTCCCTTTAACTGCTGTGGTTAATAACTAAGCCTGTAGTAGCGTCTATTACTATTAATGGAGCCCCAGGCACAGAGCTACTGAAGTGAGACTGCCGGTGTAGGTGCTGTGCAGTGCAAGGAGCCAGCAGAAGTGGCCAGTGCTAGGTCGGGAGAGGAGTAGGACAGCTGCCATGCGAGGAGCAGCCTCTGCTGGCATGGCTCCTGTGAAGTCCTGACTGCAATTCACAGCTGCCCAACCCTGGTGACCACCTGCTTTTCCTCTGAGTGGGGCATAAAGAATTAGCTGGTGTTGGGAAGTGTCCTTTACATTTCGGTGTACAGCGTGGGTCATTTTAGCCCAGGATTATGAAAGCAGGCCAAGGGGAGCAATAAACAGAATGTTTCAAATAGTTCTAAGATATATCTCTAGCCTAGTCACACCTTGGTAAAAATCACCAGCATAATTATAGTGCGGGGTAGTACTTGTCCTCCTGGTAGCAGAGGACTTTAATCTAACAGACAAAGGAATAACAAGATCCAATGGCTAGAAACTGAAATTCAGACTAGAAATAAGGTGCACATTTTTAACGGGGGGCTGGAATTAACTATTGGAATAATTTACTTAGAGAGGTAGTGGATTCTCCATCACCTAAAAGTTTTAAATTGAGGATTGGATGCCTTTCTAAAAGATTTGCTCTAGCTCAACCACAAGTTATTGGTTTTAATGCCGGAATCAGTGAGTGAAATTCTATGGACTGGTTAAAGCAGGAGGTTAGACTAGCTGGTCATAATGGTCCCCTCTTGCCTTAAAAGATGTCACTCTCTACTGTATGTGTATATATATCTCCTCAATATATGTTCCATTCTATGCATCCGAAGAAGTGGGCTGTAGCCCACGAAAGCTTATGCTCGAATAAATTTGTTAGTCTCTAAGGTGCCACAAGTACTCCTGTTCTTTTTGCGGATACAGACTAACACGGCTGCTACTCTGAAAACTCTCTACTGTAGTAGATTTAAAAAAAAAAGTAAAACCTTTTATTAACTTGTTTTGTTGTGTTCACAAACAAGTGAAGGTAGGCAAGTCCTAATGAGGTGTGTGACATATCGGAATGAATATAAGCAGATATATTTAGCAAACACTAAATACTGAGAAAGTTGCAGTCCATCTGCTCCATCTCATGGATCTCTTTGAAATAACAAAATAATTAAATTAATGTTTGTCATTATTGACCTGATACAGAATGGTCTAAATGTTAATAGTGAATAATCCAGATGTATAACTTTTCCTCACAAAAATACC